AAAGAATATCTACACAGTAGGCGTTGAAAGATGTACCAAGGCAGAATGTAATTGCACTCCTGATTCATTGGATTATTATGCTGCTTTAAAAGATAAATAAATATTATGGAATCGAGAAAAAAACACGCTTGTTCTTCACTTATTGTGAGAACTATTCTGTAAATTATGTATTAATTTCTATACAATAAATGAAGACATTTCGCTACCATTGTAAAGAACATCGCATGCCTGCTTATGGTGAAGTCATTGTTTCTTCGCTTGAACAGTAATTGTAAAACACAAGGAGAGAATAATTTTAAAAATTGGCTAAAAGCATGTCTTCTTCTTCAAGCATTTAATATACAACTGTAAACGCAGAAAGATTCGCTGGGGATACAATTTCGTTTATTTCGTTGTAAACATTTATCAACGAAATAAATCCCACACGAAATTTTTATATGACTTTATTTGAAAAGGGTTACTTTCGAATCAACGAAAGAGGGTGTTGCAGAAACTCGAGATTATTCCCTATATCGAGAAGGACATTTAAATACCCTCGACGTATGAAGAGTTATCTCTAAATTTAGATAAAGCTACGTAGATGACTTTATTTATAGGGCGGGTATGTCCAGCTTGTTATAACAAAACATTTCACATTTTACGTTTATTCATGCATAGTTTTTCCTATCTTGTTGATTTATCCGACTTTAAATAAATATTATCCTATCCTATAGACTGGCGACCTGATAGTAAACTTTTTTTTCACATCTATGGTCACTGTTGCCATATTGCACGAGAAAAGTTAGAACGATAAAAAGCACAGTTAATGGCAAGTGCGTCTCGAACATCATTTGGAAAGATGTGCTGTAGACAGCATGCGTTAATATTTTTTAATATGTATATAAAAATGTGTCCAATAATCACGCTGTTGATGCAATATCCAAAAAAAATCCATTGAGTCATTTCAATTTACATGTAGTTGTTTCAATTCAAATTTAAGCAAATAATTAACAGAACAATAATGAAACGAAATGAGTATGAAAAAATTAAATTATTTAAAATGATAGCACTTTATTTTTTAAGACATCGCCACTAAATGTATGTCTTATTTGATTTAGATCACAATATCAAGGAAAACAATTTAATTCTGCATGCATCTAAAATATTACCCATTAACTTTCTGACATTCTCTCCCTCCCTTTCTCTCTCAAGAGAGATGTTACATTGTACTTCCATTATTTGAGAAAAAAATATGTATATACCACCATTCCAGGATTCGAACCCATTCTCAGGTAAAAGAGTCTTCGAAAAGAGTCCACATGCTTTACCACTAGACCAGCTGGAACACTGAACTATCATGCGCTATTTTATGTGCACATTTTCCACTTCGGATGGATAATAATTTTTATTCGATTTTTGTGATTTTCAAAAATATGCCTCTCTGAAACAAAAATCGGAAATGGCAGTTTTGAAGAAAAATCCTGTTTCTTTATGCGTATATCAAATTCATTCTGTTTCAAGGAGGCAATTTTTCAAAACAATGGGGATTCCCTATTTGAAAAACAGAAAACTTGACTTATTTTGCTATATGGCTAATTTACACTTCATTTAATGGCAAATTGGTAGTCGATATGCAGTTTCTAAATATCGCTCTACATTGTGCCGTATATACCGTTGTATCTGAAATAAATTTAAGACCGTTTTCTGTTAATTGAAAATTTTCTTTTAAACTGCTACAACTTTAGGGAAAATAACAAAAGAGCTGCAACACCCTCTTTTATCCCAATGAAAATCTGTGCTTCTATAGTAAGAACTATTCTCCTTCAGATTCCTTTTGGTAAAAGGAAGCTGATGTTGTTATGACCTACTACCAACTATGGAATATAGAAGTCTGTAGATACTAAGGTAGGATAGACACGATGAGTGAAATAATTAAAGGTTCTACTGTAAATATATATAAGTAATGTATTTTTTTTATTTTGGAAGTTCGTGAGGGCATAAACTGAAACGTTCTCTGACATAATTTTCACGAAATGCTATCACACTTATTAAATATGCAATCGCTTGAAAAGAGTCGGGTCATACCCTTGTGAGCATTCAGAAATAACTCAAGTAAAATACACAGGAATGAAGTATCAGACATAACCTTTTACAGTTGAAAACATTAAAAGACTGGTTGCCCATCCCCTTTTTGTTGCAGTATAGTCATATCGGGGTAATATGGTAATGTATATGATTAAAATTTGGTTGTGAAAGCAGCTAGAACCTACCAGACCCCCCACCCCCCCCCCACCCACCCCCCACCCCCCCCCCCCCCACACACACACACGATATGATTTTCGAGTTTGGATAATTTTTTAAAATTCTTTTTCTTTTAATTTTTTAATTTAAAATTTTTTTTTTGGTTGTTTGTTTTTGTTTTTTGGGGGTTTTTTTTGCTCATCAAAGTTTTATCTGGAAAGTTGTCATTTTTTCTGGCTATCCCCCCTCTTTTCAAAAACAATACTACATATTTGTTACATGTTTGAATAATTCAGGACGAGCGCATTATATGTATACGTTGACTTGAAGGGGCCAGTTAGCTAACCAGACATTTGTCGTTTTTTCACATTGTATGTGGAGATACGGGTTAAAGGTCAGCTATTATACCCTTATCTTTGAAGTGTGCTTTAAATCATTACTGGTGCAAGGTAGAGGGTCCCTTAACTCAACAAGCCTGCTTGCATACATGCTATCCAGTTTTGATTTACTCAATATTCAAATCTCTCTGTCATACATTTTTTTTTTCAATTCTCTTTATACCAGAACATGTCGCTAAACATGCATAATTAAAATTGGCTTTTAGTAAATTAATACAGATGCAATTCATATGTTAAATTTGATTTCTTTATAGAAATTCGTTCTTGCATTACGTTGTCATATCAATATTTGATATTATGTCGATTATAAGATAAAGCAGGTTTTAAACACAGCTCGATTTTAAGTTTTTATACCCTCAGGTACCATCTGTTTATTCAGATCTGTTCAAGAATTTGGCACCCGGATTTCGACACGTGTCAAAATCAGTCTTAATTGCATTCAGAGTTGATGTGAGTATAAATAATTAATGAAAAACAAAGTAAGTGATAATTCTGAGATGAAAGTTTGAACTTTTTTTTACCACTCATTGAATATATGATATGAATATATTGAATAGAGAGAGAGAGAGAGAGAGAGAGAGAGAGAGGGGGGATTGAATTTTTACCCCTACCGACAGAAAATATATTGTAGTACTGACAGTCTACAGGCTTATAGCAGGAAGAAATACTTTGTTCAGAATCCTGCACGAAGTAGATGAACGTCTCTTACCCACCCCCTTTTGTAAAAACTTGAGAAATAAATCATTAATTGACGTTTATTGTGAAACCTGTTATACTATGTTATGGATATGGATATTGTACTCCAGATGCTCTTATTTCAATTCTGTCAAGGATAAAAGCAGCGTATATGCACATTTTACTGATAAATTGATTTTTTTAAAGGGGGGGGGTAAAAATTCACAGGTACTTGGGTCTTGGTATATAAATATGTATGTATCTTATTGATATGTAAAAAATGTACTTTACTTTTTTTTTACATATTTTTTTACATATCAATAAAGTACATACATATTTATAAACCAATACCCAAGTACCTGTGTAAAAATTAGCTTTTAACGCCCGATAAATAGGCCGAGTATTTGATACAAAAGACTGTATTCAGGAAAAAAAAACTGAAATGTATTGATTAAAACACAAAATTTTACAACTTTAATTGTATTTGAACAATACCTTATTCATTAATTTTCTCTTTTCATATATAAGCAAGTTTATTACGAAGTACAAATTGTACTTCGGGTTAGTTGCCACGACGCTCTCAGTGAGGAATATATACAAATTTTACCGATAAATTTATTAGGAAAACCTACTATATATATGTAATAGTCTTTCGATATATAAATGTATTCACAACTTAAAGTGTTATCGATGATTTACCATTATTTCAATGACTATTTACACAAAAGCTTTTTTATTTTTATGTTCATGCAGCTATAATCGCCTCGTTTTTCTTTTTAACATCGGGCTCGATGCTATTTGATGTTCTAGAAGCTTCCGTCAATACTAAGATCGGTGAATGACAAAAATAATTTGCACATTTCCCTTTTTAATCGATTATCACAACTTATTTCTTTTATATCATTTAAATCAAGTTTTGATTGAGTAATTCAATGATGACGTTTTATGAAATAAATAAACGATTGCTTGTTGTTAGTTTCATAAAAAAAAAAAACAACCCAGTAACTTAGATCCGCCAACCGGAAACACCATCGTACTCACGTTTTTTGCTATTTCATGGCTGTTTATAGAAAATGAAAGTAGACTTTTAATTTAATGTACAACACTTACTATGCGAGTGAAATCTAAATATATTTTACGGACATCATCTTGTATCCAGTGTTTTCTTAGAGGAGTAAGTAAGAACTCTGGTGGACCCGTTTCGGAGTTTATTTGCAAAATTTATTAATTTAAAAGTATAGATGTATAAGTTCAAATGTTTTTTTTCTTCTGTTAATCATACTAAAGAAAGCCATGCATTATTCTTGGGCATTCATTTTTAGTGCTTTTTATATCCTTTGTATTCATTTCAACTATACTTTTTATAAAACACGTTGAAATTTGAAAATTTTTGAAAGACTCTGTAATACATATTCTTAATTATTGACAAAATTATCAGTGGTAATTTAAGAAATGTAACTTTTGCAACTTTTCGGTTTGACATATATATATATATATATATATATATATATATATATATATATATATATATATATATATATATATATATATTTACATGTATATATATCTCAAAGCAATTTTTGCCAAAAGACATTGTCAATTGATGTTGATGCTTAATAATAGTAACAGCACATTTCTATTCCTCTTATTGCCATTTTACCCTCCAGTGCTTAAAAGATGAGAGAATTTTTTTAATTTTTTTTTTTTTATTGAGTCATTGTTTCAGTAAATATAATCATAACAAATAGACCATACATCGTACATGATTAAATATTAACAAAAAATATGTTCAGTTGAATACGTGGTACCCAATTGAGAAAGTTCATTTTCTTTTGAGTCCCTGATTTGTAGAGCAATTGGACACATTTTGAGTACCAAAAATTGTCTACATTTTCTCTACAATCATTTCTGTTTCTATGGTTTCAACAAAACCTAATTGCACTGAAAAAAAATATTAGATACACAAGAACATAACACAACATTGCACTTCAATAGACGCATATATCTCTAAGTGGGAACTATAATTGCAATTATAACAGAGTTTCTCGAACTAATACAACAGCCATTTTCTCTGTTAGAATTTACAAAAATGATGTAACCATAAAGTTCAAACTGTCTGATTTTCATGCAATATATCTTCATCATTGTAAGAATTATGGCACGGAATTTGTAAAAACGTTATACGCTTTAACCCCTAAAAAAATATTGAAAATTTTCTTAATTGACTCAAGAGTCATAGGCAAGATGGGTGGTTGAAAATATTTGTGAAGATTCCGAGGAAATCAAAATCCTCATAATGTATGCAAATTGGGTATACCATTGCCTTAAATTGCAGATGGCACACATGATTTCTTGTCGATAAAGTTTGTTGATGACAGATTCAATGAAAATCAGTATTATGCTTGTTAAATGATAACAATAAATTAAATATCTATACAAAAATGTCAAATTGGGATAGCTGTTACAACCATCACGATGCTGAAACACCAATATTTATAATTTCAGGTATCATCAGTGTTTGTTGACAATGGCACTGCTACCATTTTTGCAATCGTCCAGTTGAACAAGACCAAACGTTTTGCAACAGTCTTCCAGATCAACTGTACCACTAAAAGGGGTGCCTGGCATGTTCCGGATGGCCAAATATTTGAAGCTGTCCCAAATACAGTCTAAAATGAGAATAATCTTCACATTCGACGTGGGTTGTGGGCAAAAAGTACACCTTGATACATAATGCCATTGATTTCCATGCTGACCACGAGTGAGTTGTCAATGTCTGAGCGACCATCGTCTGAAAAAATTAAAAATACGGATACTTATTCTACTGCACAGTGTGATATGAAGTGATGGACATGTTCAAGTTTTGTTTGCTGTGTTATCTTATCTAGAATAAATAACTATGGACATGGACTTAGTTTCAGACAAGACTTGAAGAGGAATTTATTAGTATTGTGTCAGAGGTGTGTAATTTCTGTCAATGTTTAGCTTGACAGTGTTCTTCATGTCATAAAATGATAATCCCATGTATTCTTTTAAAATATCTTACTCCATTATAGGAAAAAGAACTGTAATAAAAGAATACCCTGTACAATTTCACGAAACTTTGGGAATCATTAAGTTCATTTATAACGCTTACATCAACAATCAGTGGTGCATGTACATGAGGTACAGTATATAAATAGTCGTCATGGTTCATTTGTTATAGATGGAATATTTGACCATCTACCAGGTGGTGGTATGAAGTTTTAAATTTCATTAGTATTTTTCGTTGTTTACTAGTATTTGGCAAAATACTCAAATATTTCTCATGTCCAAAATCATTCTTAAAATTTTTAGATATGACCTTTTCATGAGTTACTTTTATCACTGTGCCATTGTGGATAAATCGGTTGCTTAGTCTTTGCTTCACAGTAGCAAAGACCTAATTCCTGTCACTGGAACTTTTGTTCATACCAAATGTTTGAAAATCAACAAGAGGTTAAAATTTTGTATGGATTTTTTAAGCCTTTTTGAAAATTTTGAAAACATAAATATTTATACAATACACAAACAATTTTGTTTTCTGAAGAATTCAAAGCAATATTATCCACAAAGAGATATTCTTGTAAATACATTTACATGTGTATACAATGGGAATCACCCAGTCTCCCCATACACAATATGAGAAGATGTACTACATTTCAAACATTTCAAACGGGCGTTGACACTTATTTAAACATTGCCAGGGGTAAAACGTAATGTATTTTAGATTGAAGGCAGATATCACCAATTAAAGTTCAGACTGTTATAAATTCAATTGAATAAAACCTTTGAGGAACGCATTTTAAAATCCATTGTTTTGTACATCAAAGAAAATAAAAACATTTTGCAGTCTGCAGCCCTTTATAGCAATTAAAGAGGGCGATAAAACATCAAGAAACAATTCTTATTTCTTTTATGTAACTGATGATAAATATTGAGAAATGATAAGTTAATTGTGTAAAAGGTGTTTTAAAAGAGATGTGCTATTTTGATATCATTTTTCGTGTCTTGATAAAAATCATCTTCACTTTGATTGTTGAAAATGTTCAGCCTAGGGTAAAAATACAGTTTTATAAAGCTTCTTTTGACATCCCTCTTTGTTTTATAATCCATTTGCATTTAAATATACGAAAAGAAATTAAAATGAAAACAAACATGGGATATTTTATAATAAATTCCCGTTATTTTTCCAATGACTGCTTTCTCTAAAGTCCCATGGAGAAAGGGTACAGACGTTTAATAACATGTACAAGAAATTTAATAAACTTACTTCGACTAGTAATTTTAATATGTGTATTGGGCATGGCGTGTGAGGGGACTCTTTCCTCCTCGGGTGAGATGTGGGGTCGTTTCCTGGGGGGTTCCTCGGAAAGCTGTGCAGCGGCGCGTGACGCTTCCTCCATTTTACGTGTGGCGTGTTCCATGGCTCGGGAGGCTGCCTCCATGGCAATAGCGTCACGCTCTGTTAAATGGTCTGTGATGCTTCTAGGGTGAGTAGGGGTTGGAGGTAAACTGTCTTCATCAGCTGTACCGTTCCCTCCAGTAACTGTTCAAATAAAAATGTTTTGTTTATGTTTATAATCATATAGCACGCACTATTTTATTGTGACCCTAGCCAGGTGTACACAGGAGTGCAAAACCACGAGTGCTGTAAAAATTGTTGTGGTTATGTAAGAAAGTGCAAGAAACCTATCTGACTGATATCAGTATAAAACAGAAGCATTGTTTGTTAAAAAGAAATATTAAAAGTTAAACACGATTAATGTAATCAAATATCCGGGGAAGCGTGATGTTCAGCCACTCGTGAAGGGGCGAGCAATACTTCTCGCCATTTACCGCTCGCCCCGAGACATCGCGTCCCCCATACAACAATTACCTTCAGTGCAAGTGTGTGATCAAGGCGTTTAATTCAGAAGATCGATTCAAATTTTTGTCATTAAATACTTAAATTGATCAGTGCTTTAAGATCGTAAATATTCAAATCAGCGAGGAAGGAAAAAAAGAGATTTTCATCAGGAACACTGAAACTTATAATCGGCGTTTTGTTTCATGTAGGCAAAGCTGAAGGTTTGGATGCGCGTGTTCCGCAGCTTAAATTACGGTCTCCGAATCATTAAAATCATTATTGTGCTGATGTGAAGCCATCAGAGGACCTCAACCAATAATTTGGGAGATTTATTCTGTATTTTCTTGTGCCTTTTCATGACCAAACTATTTAATCAGTCTGTATTTTAATACATGTAATTTGTCGGAACTAGGGTGCGATTCAGCGACCGGGCACGGCATCAGAATCAAAATTTCTTCAACCTAGCATTTTATAAAATTGAAGCAACAATAATTGGGAGGAACGATTCCCCGATAAAATCTTCCCTTGCAGGGAATGGCGGTAGATCATGCTAAAAACAAATTTGAGGTCTTTAATCCTTTATCGAGTGACTAGTCTGGCAAGTGAAAACATCAAATGTGCAAAAAATAAAGGACACTTATTCTGTTCAATCAAAAGTTAAGGCAAGGTATCAAATTTTTATAGGTTATTGCGTCCAAGGGAATCTTATCCCTAGATAGACAAGGTCAAAATTAAAATAAACGCAAGGTTCACAAAATCAAACATTGACAGTTGATTTAATAATAAGGAAGTATTTCTCTTAAAAATTTCTTTATTTTCATTTCTTCTCATTTTTATATTGTTTTATTATTCTATTTATTTATTCATTTACTTACGTAGTTGGTGATGCTGCAATTGCCATAATTTCTGTAAGCTGGTCAAAGGAGATCTACGATCTGTATAAATAAAGTGGGGAAACATGTAAAAATAATGTCTGACTTATAAAATGTATTTATTTTCATGCAACATTTCGATCTGTATTCGTCACTTTAGTAATAAGTCGAAGTGTCTCTCAAACAGTGAAAGTGGTGCACATACACTCACACACAAAACAACTCTGTGCTTACAAAAAGTATCCACCCTTGGCGGTTTCTTTTCAATTATGGGAGGTAAATCATACAAATCTGATCTTATTCAGAATAAGATACAATTATCTAAATTTTCATCGAAAGGGCATTAGCAAAATTCTTATGAAGACTACGTGCCTAATAAATCTTTTTGATTCCATCCATTTTCCGTCATAGACGAGTACTTGAGTAAGGAGGAGGGAATCATTTGTTCATTTCGGAACACCCCTCCAGCCGGATTGCCAAGTTTCCCGTTAAAGATACCGCCGTTGAGGTGAGGGTGGTGTGACGAGGGAATAAGCGTAGGTCCCGGTGAGAGATCATAACCATAACTGGACCTCCTACCTTCCCGCCTGTTCCCATCAATTGCTGCCTGCAGTTCTTGCGGAGTACTTAATTTTAATTTTTCACACTCATATGGGTACAAGTACTTCATATATCTAAAAGAAAAAGAATGCAGATGTAAGTAATTCAGCAACTACTGTAAATGTTAATCTACTGATATTTTGGTGCTTATATTAGAAATAAAAATCCATGGATAGTTTATCTCAAAGATAAAACTGAATTTGTTTACTTAAAATTAGGACAATCTTTCTTAAGATTTATTGAGCCATAATTCACACTATAATAACTGCTTACTGTGTTCTAAGGGTAAATGCGGCGCTGGTGATGGATGATGGAAGGTTGAGACCTTTCGTAATCTCCCGCCATAATTTTTTGTTAATGACCTCCACAAGACCGCCCTTGGATACAACCAATCGGAAGAGTTCATACAAATCCAGTGTCTGTTTAGCCATTATAGGAATTCTGTTCACTGGTGTTCCTGAATATGAAGAAAAAAAGAATACTTCAACATTTAAAAGAATATTTTGTCTGACTATTTCCCTAAGTCTTTCCGACTAAAACCATCTGATTATATTATGCATTTTTAAAACTCTAAAAGCATAATAATCTGCAGGTTATATTGTTTTAAAAATTATGCAGTTTTGAACAAAAAGGTGAGAAAAGGCAGATCCCAAAATTTATATTCCCTCTTCCAAATGTCTTTTGTATGTCTGAGTTTGACGTCACAATAGTTGTGAAGAGTTTTGATGAGGCGCAGCAGAAAGTTACACTTGATATCATCATTAGGCAACTTTATTCAATCGACCAAGCGCATTGCTCTTTTCTTAGTGTTAAAAGAAAGATAGACATCATCCCTTTTAAAGCCGGGATTAACTTAATATAGCAGTCATTCATTCTGTTATCCGTGGTAATAACGAACGAATTTGTCCCGTATTAACCGTAGACAACGACTATCGGAAATCAGGGGCCTTTATCATGTCATTAAATTACCGGATCACAGGGCAATAAAAGGAGATATCTTAAGTCCTTTGATACAAATAGAAATATTGACATTCGGCAATTACGGACTAATTGAAAGTGTATCAAGGTTTAATTTATCTATTGCCGTTAATATTATGTACAAACAAATTCAATTAATCGTGCCATCCCTCGACTCCTATCAATTATGGTGTTTTCAATACCGGCCAATATAACATTTATTGATTAACATCGCCATAAATTCCGGAAGAAGGAAGCGGTGTTTACGGTCTATGTTAGGGTCTAGGGATACACGTACCCTACTTTACACGATTCCTGCTCTAGTATAAAAGTGTCGCATTAATTATTCAAATCACGATAAAATATCTCGTGTAAAGTATTATTTTGAGATTGATTAATTTCATTGGATGCGAGAGTGTTTTTTTTCCAATCATCCAACGAAATAAATTAAAAAAGAAAAAAGAAAAACCGCCCTTTTTCATCATTTGCGTCCAGCATTTTGAATTCATTGCTTTCCTTTTCATATTTTTTTTAAACATTACTTAAATCAGGGAGCTTTTATAAAATACCTAGAAATTTTATCATCGGTATAAAGATTTCTTATAGAAACTGAAATGATTAAATATATTTCGTCGTCTTTGCTTAAAGGTCCCATGTATTATTAATGCAAAAACCGGAGACATTGGAATTTCTTTGCGACTCGGCTTGATAGACACTGATGCAATTCGATATAATCAAAATGTGATAAATTTCCGATTTAATGATTATGTTTTCTTGTGTGACTCGAGAAAGATTCTTTGATAGTCGGTGCCAGATAAATAATGCAGAATAAAATAGATTGATTTCTATAGATGAAAGATGAATATGTTTATATTAAATCGGACATAAAAATTAATGTATGCTTTGATATGCCGATACATTTTTCATTTCTCTGTCTTCTATCAAAGCTGGTTTCATACAAAAACTGCAATTTCCTATCTTGATGATTCTTCTTTCCGTCAATATAAAAAAAAATCTATGCAATACAATTGTTATTGGAACATCTGGTTGCCTTAATCTGAAGCTCTGGTGAACTTTCTCTTTAAAATCTTATTCTACAAAGTTTTTAATCTATGATAAGTCGAAGAAACTTTAACTTTTTGGCAGCTATTCTAGATAATATCTGGAGAAATATTTCAACCTCTCGAATTTCCTTCAAAGCCTTCAATTTGAACTGTCGCTCCTATATCAAATTAAACTTTTCAAGCAAACGCTCAATGCGCTTGACCCTGTATTTAATGCCTGGTGTTTCTTATTAAAACCAAATTTGGTCGATTAGATAGAAATCACTCGGATTCATCGATAACGATCTAATGCCATATTATGACAAGTCCGCAAACTTCCACTCGGAGATGTACATTATGTACGAGATGTCAAAACGGGGGAGTCAATTGAGTAAAACGTGTGTGTACTTATATACCTAAGTCCAATAGGTACACAGCTATCCAAAGCAAAATAAAGACATTTCGTTTTCATAAAAAAATTATTTGTAGAGATCAAAAATATATCTGATTAGCACGTTTTATTATATTATTTTCCATTTGGTTAAACATCGACAAATAAGGCTATAAAATGGATCAGCTGGAGTCAAAAGTCGTCGATATTATCATATTACATTAGCATATAATTTTAAAAATCTGACGGAGAAATTTAACATCTATCTGGCGAATTAGAATCTCTCTCTCTCTCTCTTTCTTCTCTCTTTCTCTCAACAATACAGCTGAATAATAATTTTGTTTAACACCATGAAAGCACTTGGGATCCTCGAAGATGCTGTCTTTCGTTATAGAATTGGAAAATTAATGATGATAATCGTATTTCATTATATCCCATCGACTTAGGATAGCATCAGTGGTTGTTAAGACTTCATTTCGCCAGACCAAGGGAAGGCAATGGTGACAAATTTGGTCATATTAAAGGCCATTTACAGGAAAATGAAAGCAATTTAGAATTTCCAAGATGGTATAATTTTATAGTAAATATCAGCTGGGTCCCGCTGGGACGCTAAATCAACACCTGTTTCCGGAAATAATGCATGCCACGTGATATAGACACGTATGGTCCGAAGAACAATGAAAATGCCATTCTTCAAACTACTCGGTAAGGACATTGATGCAATTTTTCAAGTCCGGAGAAATTAAATAATCGCCCAGTTTTTGCTTAATCTTTGCCTAATTTGATATGTGACCCTAATTAGAATCTTATATCCTGTAATTTGTAGACCTTTCGCAATGAGATAGTCTTGGTAGACAGAAGAGAACGGAATTTTACCGGCTTCCTTCCAAATAGATATTTATTACCCAAAGATAACCAAGTCTAAAGTGTGATTATTTTTTCTTTAATGGGGCATCAAACACCTTTTCACCGAATGATGAGAAATTCATCAAAACTTATATGAAAACTTGTTAACATTGCCGCAATGGAATTGAATTAGCTGACAATCAAACGGGGGCTTAATCGAATGAGGCGACAGTACGGTGATCAATAGTCATTTAGGGATCGGGATCGGATATGAAGGCGTACTTCCTTAAAATTAAAAAAAAGAGCAGTAATGGAAATTCAAAGCTCGATCCTTATTCTTATATTTTTTTTACTCCCATATATGCATCTGGAATCGTGTTTCTTTATCATTTGATTTTGGAGTTATTGTAAAGTATTTTTGTCGATTTTTATCCTTATTACACTTGTCTTACCAATCAAAATTTGACCACCACCACCCCCACCTCCCCCCCAAAATCATATTAAAGAACACACCGTACCCCCAGCGCCTTATCACATGTCCTGAATTTATTATAACTGTAATTGTAACAAAAGTATTGAGTCATAACATTGAGAAATTTTAATAAAAATCGGGATCGACAAACGAGGGCACCATCTTGTCTTCCAAACAATATCTGGAACTGTTAATGTCTTACAGTTTGATATTAAAGATAACTTACATTTCCTATCGATCTTACACGATCGGGAATAATTGATGAAATGTAAGTTGCCCATGAAAGTGTTTCTTCCCAAAAAATGCTCTGATTGTTTTCCGATAAGACGGCGATGAGATTTTCTCGGCGACTTTTCATCTTATCAAAAGATATCAAAACGAATCAATTTATGAAGCAGAAAATGTTGAATTGTTAATTATAGAAAAAAAAATGGCAGTCCGTGATACGTAAACGAGCACTATGATCCCCTGAGAATGGTGGCTAAATCATCTTTTTGCTGCCAAACGACAATGTTAACACTATTCGCCGACCGATTCATTCAATCAATTATAAAGCGATGTCAGTGATATTGAAAAACTAATGCAAAACTAACACTCTCCGACAAATATCATTTTAATGTTGAAAGCGACATTTTGGCCTTTTGTTATTAATTTATGAAATGTAAGCCATTTGGGGAATTGCCCTCAAAGACTAAATGTCTCTTTTGATATCATTCCTAATTAACTCTCTCTGCATCTTTATATTCAAGTCATAAAATTTAATTACGACTCTAATAATTATGGGGATATTGTCATCCCAAGAAAACGAAAAAGGAGAATACCAAATGATTGTGGTCGCGATCTCAAGGGGATGGTACAGAATCTTTAGAAGATTTTTGTGAAACTGGGCTATCTTTACTGTCTCTTTTGATGAATTTGATCCAAATGACTTAACACCTTTCGGAATCCCCCTGGCACTGTCGTCTTGGTATCAACCTGCAATACTGTCATATAAAGGGTCACTCGGGTGATGTTTCCGAGTCATGTTCGCAGAATCGCATGACAACACTACGTAAGAGAAAGATCACGACGGGATTCGGCTTATTTTCATTGTTTTACATAAAAAATCATTATGCAATTGAGGTTCTACTTAATAAATCCTTTTATTAGATAAGGATGATGATGTAAGTTGTATATCCGTCTATGTTTTCAGGCGAGGAATGTAGTTTGTCTATTTCAATTTAGAAATAAACAAATATTGGAAATAACGTTTTTTTTAAAAAAAATTCCTTTGATTTCCAGTCTGCTCAGGCTCTGCCACAATAACGTACAATATGACTGGCCACCACAATTAATATCTCGGCTCTGATTGACACGAAGATAGCCAATGACACTCATTCTCGCACTTTCAATTGGCCAGCAAATTAAACTGACCAATCACTTGATGGATTACAGTGGACATTAGACCCCCCGCCACGATGACACGCGTTTAGTGCTAAGGATCATGTTTAGCCAGCGGTCTGCGTAACAGAAACTTGACAAGTTGATGATAGATTGTGGCACTGTTTCTGGTGGAATTAATGCTGATTTTTAGGGTTTTGTGGCAGATTTTATGATAAAGAAATTGGTTTTTGTCCATATTTTATTAAAATGATGGGCAACTGCAGAACTTAGAAACAATTACATATACAGATCATATGCAAATTTTCTCGTCTTAAACTCTGTAATCTTTTAGATAAAGCCATTAAATGGTAAAGGTATAAGAATTC